CAGAAACCTAACAAATATTAAATACTATAAAAAGAAATAAAATGCCGAAAACATTAAGTAAACACTGAAAATTATTTACCAAAAATTGAATTAAGTAGGAAACATTTCCTTATTTGGGAAATTTCTCCTAATAGAAGCTTGATGATTCAGTTAAAATGCACAGAGAATAAGTTACTGCAAGTGTTTATAGGATACCACTGGAAAAGTTTCTGTTTGAGAATTCAAGTCTTGTTTCCTCCTAAGAAAAATTTAGTTATGTCCATTTTATATTTTATTTTGTAAGTTAATGTCATACTTTGATTCTAATCCAATCTCATTTTTTTCTTTGGTATATTTACTGTTAGCTTTTTTAATGATGCTTATTTCAAAGGGAAATAATGTTTAAAAGATGTTAAACATTTAATCCTTGGATGCTGGAACCACTTTTAAATATTGTAAGCACATCTGTATTATATTACACAGGGAGAAGAATGTATGTGTTCTGTGGCCTATGGGCACAGGGTGGCTGGTTTAGGAAAACTGAGTATTTTGCATTTCAAGTTTCTTTTCAACACAAAAAATATTCTACGATTCTAAAATAAAGAATTTAATTCCCAGGGTGAGGTGTGCAGTCAGTCAAACATAAGGAGAGTTTTGGCTTTACATTTGCCCTCTAACTTGTCACCTTCTTAGAAAGAAATTAGTTCTTTATAGTAGGCTTGACTTTGCATTTTAAGTACTTCTGTTTTCTCTTACATGGCACAAACTTAGAACACAAAGAAATCACGACACCAGTTCTTAGTAAGTGTGCTACTGCTGAGTTATGGAGTAAATAATTTGTTACTGATTAAGAAATACCCAAGTGTGAGAAGGATTTGCTCTTTAAACAAAATTACAGCAGACTCAGGTGTATCCCAGCGATCACCTCACTCTTGATCTCTTGTGTTCCACTGTGCTTTTTTGAGTGGGAGGAAAAAGTATTGAGTTACAGCTTTCAGGCTGGGTATCCCTTGGGATTTTTGTTGTGCGTGTGAATATCTATCATTGGTGGAGATAGTGAAGAAAATTTAGAGAGCATCTGCACTGCGTTGGTGAACATGTTCTCTTTTTCCTCTTTGACGTGACATGATATTAACATGACAACACATTCCCATATGCAACTCCCAGTAATCTAGCTGAAATACCGCCCCTTTTTCTCCTAGCCCAGAAGCAGGCAAGGGAGAATGTTAGGGAAATATATCTTTAATCAACTCAGTTTTTTTAAGTAATGACACAAGAATTTCATACCTTAAGGAATACAAGTACCTAACCATCTGTGATACATTGGATAGCTATGTCTGGATACTATGACTGATAAACTCCACATTTCTTAAAATTAGTGCTTTTGACTCATTCAGGAACTCAGATCTGGGGTGTTTTTTTTTGTTTTTTTTTTTAATTTTTAAATAAAGTAAGGCCATATTTAATTAGAAAGAACTTTTTACAAAAGTATTTCGTAGCCAGTTATTTTACTGACATCATGCTACAAATTATTTATCATGGATATAAATAATGTGCCCGTTTTTTGAATTTTTAGGTATTATTTTAACCAAGAAAATTTTATGATACATTAAAAATAGATATGTAAAAGTCTTTACTCCTTACTTTGTATGAAAATGAATGATTTTAGAGTTTTCCTAATGTCAGTTTATTTGATATGCTTTTTTTGAGTTTGTTACTGTTTTTTGTTGTTTAGATCCCACATATAAGATCATATGGTATTTGTCTTTCTCTGACTGACTTATTTCACTTAGCATAATGCCCTCTAGATTTATCCATGTTGTCTGATGATAAGATTTCATTTTCTGTGGCTGAGTAATATTCCATTATATATCATATCTTTATTCATCTGCTGATGGACAGTTTGCTTCTTTTTAATTAAAATTATATTTTATTATTTATGATATTACAATTGTCCCAATTTTCCCTTTTTGGTCCCCCTTCACCCAGCCCCTTCTCCTACTACCTCGGGCAGTCCCCACACCATAGTCCATGTCCATGGGTCATGCATATATATTCTTCGGCTGCTATATTTCCTATGCTGTATTTTACATCCCCATGGCTATTCTGTAAAAGCCATTTTGTACTTCTTAATCTCTACACCCTTTTCACCCATCTGCCTGAACCCATTCCCATCTGGCAACCATCGAAACATTCTCTGTATCTGTCGTTCTGTTTCTCTTCTGCTTGTTTATTAGATTCAATTATTGATATATTACCATTTTATTGTTCATATTTTTGAACTTCTTATTAAAGAAGACCCTTTAACATTTCATAAAATACTGATTTAGTGGTGATAATTTATTTCACTTTTCTTGTCTGGGAAGTTCTTTATCTGTCCTTTGATTCTAAGTGATAGCTTTGCTGGGTAGAGGAATCTTGGTTGTAGGTCCGTGCTTTTATCACTTTGAATATTTCTTGCCAATCTTTTCTAGCCTGCAAAGTTTCTTTTGAGAAAACAGCTGACATTCTTATGGGATCTCCTTATGGATAACTAACTACTTTTCTCTTGCTGCTTTTAACATTTTTTTGTTTTTAACCTTTGACATTTTAATTATGACGTGTCTTGGTAGGGCCTCTTTGGATTCGTCTTGCTTGGGACTCTGCACTTTCTGGACTTGTATGTCTTTTTCCTTCACCAAGTTAGAGAATTTTTCTGTCATTATTTCTTCAAATACGTTTTTAGTTTCTTGCTCTCTCTTTTCTTCTGGCCCCCCTGTGATGTGAATGTTGGTATGCTTGAAGTTGTCTTAGAGGCCCCTTACACTATCCTCATTTTCGGGGGGATTCTTTTTTTCCTGCTGTTCTAATTGGATGTTTTTGTTTCCTTATATTTCAAATCACTGATTTGATTTTTGGCTTCATCTCCTCTACTGTTGATTTCCTGTAAATCCTTCATTGCCTTCATTTCTAACTGGTTCTTTTTTATGATTTCCATGTCCTTTACTTTTTTTATTTTTTAATATTTGCTTTCCCCCATAACATTTTTTAAGATTATTTCTAGAGGGGAAGAGAGGGAGGGCAACATCGATATGTGAGATGTACATAGATCAGTTGCCTCTCACATGCCCCCAGTTGGGGACCTGGCCTGCAACCTAGGCATTTGCCCTGACTGGGAATCGAACTGTCAACTTTTTGGTTTACTGGCCAGCACCCAATCCACTGAACTACATAAGGCAGGGTTCCATGTCCTTTTTTGTTCTGTTGAAGTTCTCTTTGAGTTCATCTACTCTTCCCCTAAGTTCATTGAGCATTCTTATAACCAGTATTTTTAACTCTGCATCTAGTAGATTGTCTCCATTTTGTTTAGTTCTTTGTCTGAAATGTTGTTTTGCTCTTTTATTTGGACCAAGTTTCTTTATGTCCTCATTTTGGCAGTCTCCCTGTGTTTGTTTCTATATATCAGGTAAACTCCCGCTACAACTCTCTGGCTTGGAAGAGAGGCATAATGTAATAAGTGTCCTGTGGGTTCAGTGGCACAGCCTCCCCTGTCACCCAACCAGGGTATTCAAGGTTCACCTACCATGTGGGCATTATATGACCTCCTCTTTTAGTTGAGCCTTGATCGCTGTTGGCAGGTCAGTTTGAGGAATTTAACCAGGCTGATCAGCTGCAAGGACTGGCTGTGACTTCTGACTGCTAACCTTGACCACTGTGGATAATCAGCTATGCAGGAGCCCATTTCTCAAAGCAGGACTTACTTCAGCAGAGCTCTGTTACCCATTGAGTCTCTACCTCTGAGTGTGTCACTTGTCAAGGCAGTTGGGTGGTGGTGCTCCAATGTGGTCTGTAAACTGACCAGAGTGCATAGGCTCTGGGGCCTCCCAGGAGGTGCAGGTCAAGGTCAGCCACCACTGGTGTTCTGTCTTGGGCTTCTCAGCATAAGCTACAAGTGATCTGCAGATGGCTGCTATTTGTGCTGAGCTTGGAGGTGCCCAGGAGAGACTAAGTTGTAAACCAAGGCCAGCTGCTGCTTGTGCCAGGCCTAAAGCCACTTAACAAGAGGTACAGGGCTTGCTAAGGCCAGGTGCTGCTTGTTTATGAGAATTTAAGAAAATCAGAAGCCTGAGCCAAGATAAACCATTCGTATGGGAAAGCCACTGGAAACAGCTTGGGTGGGCTCAAAATTTGGATGGGGTAGAGCATCAAGGAGTCCCCAGGGTGGGGCAGACACTGTGAGCCAGGCTGATGGAGTCTCAAGTGTGATGACCATCTGCCTGCTCTGTGAGGGGAGGGCCAGCGCTTCTCTGAGGGAAAGCTGCCCCCCAGCTCTCACCCTAATGCCAGACACTTCATTTTCTCCCCAGCACTAGAGCTCAGAGGGAATGAGTCCAAGTAAATCCATGCACAGGCCCTTTAAGAGGAACTGCCTGGGACTCTAGAAGTGTCTGTCTACCACAGCCTCAATCCCCACTGGTTTTTACAGCCAGAAGTTATGGTGACTTCTCTTCCTGGCACTGGAACCCTGGGCTGGGCAGTTTTGGTATGGGGCCAGGACCCCTCACTCCCAGAGATACCCCTTCCAGTTTTTATCCACCACATGTGGGTATGGGATCAGCTCAATCCACGTCTCTGCCCTTCCTGCCAGTCTCAGTGTGGTTTATTCTTTAATTGCATAGTTGTAAGACTTTCATTCAGCTCAATTTCTGGCAGTTCTGAATAATGGTTGTTGTATAGTTTAGTTGTAATTTTGATGTGGTTGTGTGAAGACACAAGCTGTGTTTTTCTGCACAGCCCTCTTGAATGGAAGTCAAAAGCCAGAAGTTTCTTGATACGCTTTTTCTATAGCTTTAGAACCTCCATAAAAATAGCTCTTTTATCTGTTTTTTAGGAGTATTAAGCTTACTATGTTATAAGAAAATAACTACTGAAATAGTGTTATCACCATTTAAAAATTTTTTTGTGTATGAAACTGATACATTTCATTTATGAGTAATTTTTAACACTGAGACCACCTTCTTGTTTTGCTTTTATATTGTAAGGTATTACGAACTGGATCCTCACAAAAGTCTCCTTGACAATTTGAGGAACAAAGTGATCATTGAGTACCCAACGTTACATGTGGTATTAAAAGAATCCAGTAATGACATGCAAGTTCTTTACCAGGGTAAGTATAAATTTGTTCCTGCAATGCTCAGAATAACTGTAGTGAAACTGAAGCAATTAGAGCTGTCTGTACTTCTTTATATATGTATTTTCACACTAGATTGACACTCTTACCTGAATTTACTCTATAGCTTTAATACCGTAAACAACCAAATGAGTGAGATGCTACCTCTGTCTGGTTTGAGCACGTGTGAGCTTATATTATAATTTTGAAATAACTAGGTCAGTTTAAGTAAATGTCTGGCTGTAAAAGGATACTCTCTGCCTTATTGGAGTTATATGTGTTTTTGTCTTCTTTTAAGCCAATAGTCTTTAAGCATCAGTCTGTCGTGATTGGCTAAATTTAACTCCTGAGTTAAAATCCCCTTTGTTTTAAAGAGATTCCTAAAATGAGGGATTGCAAAAACATTGTTAGTATCCCACCATATAAAAAGAGAAATGTTACCAGGAACAGCATTTTGAAAGTTGGGCTGCCATTTAGAACAATGTGCTGTGGAGTCAAGTGCCATTCCCTGACTCTTTATCTCCTTTTATTTTCAAACCCATTGTTTTTATTTTCTGATTTTTTGTTTCCTTGGCTATACTCCTTGGCATTTTTGTGAAACTTTAAAACTAGATATTTTCCTCTTTGGTGAATAGTAGATTTGGAAGGAAGTATAGAACTGGAAGTGGTATATGTAAAAGTTCAGTGTATAAAATGACTTATCCTTATTTGCAAATAGTGATTGAAGTAAGCTAGTTGTGTTTGTGAATGCAGATTTGAGGGGATGAAGAAAATCCAGAAGTTAACTTTTAAAAAGGTAGAAAGGTTGCTTACCTTAACTCAAAACCATTAGATACCACTTTGGCTAAGAGTTATTAGGTGCAGGAAGGTTTCATTGTAACAAGCTCCAGAGGACCATAAAATCCTTGGACTCACCTTTATTTTTTAAGATAATACTACTTGAAATATGTGGTTTGAGTTTTATTACTGTGCAGCATTATAGACTGGAACAGGCAGTAACCTTTGTTGTAAGATGTTCTCTGTTTATGTATATAATAGCATTGTTTTTCTTCACAAAAGTTAATAGGAGAAAAATTTTTTCCCAAGTGGCCAAAATTTTTGTCAGTGTCACAATTTGAAAGTAGATATTTAATTAGCAAATGTGAAGTTTCTAATAATCACTTATGGATTTCTAAATCTTGACATTAATTCTTCGCTTTCTGTTTTTCACAGTTTGATCAAGAATATTCTGTTTTCTCAAATTAAATTAGAAATTTTAGTTTTAAATGACCAGTTTCACCTTTTTTCAAGCTGTATAAAAATCTTACTTTCCCCTTAATATAATTCACATAGCCCTCACTCTAAATGTTGGTTTCAGGGAGAGTTGTTGAGTAATGTGGGGGACAAGCCAGGGCAAACACTGTCTGTGTAAATAAACACAGCACACACAGCTCCTCTTTCACCTTGTTTAGGAATGCACATTGAAGTAAGGCTTCCTGTAATGAAGCGAAAAGAAAAGGCTGCTTTTGTAGTGCACTTGGAACCTTCTTAAGTAAAATTTGCTCATTTTCGGTAGGTATATGATGTTCAGCTTATTTATAGGAAGCACAAGTGACTCCTGCTCTCGGCACAGAGGATCGTTTAGGGCTGCTGGGGCAGAGAACTAAAGGGGCTCGGACAGGATTTGAAGGGCCACACCCGTGTTGTCACGTCCTCAATACACGTACCTTAAAAAATAATGTGAGGTCTTCCTGTACATGCGTTTCTTTGTGTAAGCACTTCAAGGTGTCTTTTTTTCAAATTGTACCTTCTCACAACCATTGGATATTCTGCAGGGTGGTCCCTTAATGCAGAAGGAGGTTATATAAGAACAGGACATTTTCTTTGGAAAGCCTTGAAATTCTTTCTCTCTCCAGAGCCAGAATGTTGGATTTTAATCTTGAGTTCATAGCACAAGGTGTCTCTCTTCTAGTTTTGAAAAAATGTGTTTCTGGGCTGGGATTCAGTAGTTTTCACAGTTGATGGTTGTTACAATGTTTGTTATGATTATAGATTGCCGTAATTTACTTTTTCCAAAGTCTGCCTATATTGATGGGTGATAGATGAGTTTTGTTTGTTTGTTTGCTTTTTAAGGAATGAAAAAAGCTGGTTATAAAAGGTTAAGCAGTTAAGGTAGCCCACTAGATTGGAAACGTGGTGTGCTGTCCACCCATCTTGTATCAGTCCTGTGCAAAGTGATCAGAATGGTGTTACGTGCTTCCTGGCTTCTTATTTGCCAAAATTAATTAGTAGATCAAATGACTCAGAAGCATGCTGCATTTCAGTCTGGGGGGAAAGAATGGAGCTCTATGAAAAAAAGAAAACTGGGCAACTTCAGTGATCAAAGAAAGGGAAAAGTCTTCTGCAAACTGCAATGCCAAAGCCCCGTTAATTTAAAAATAACAGCAGAATAATATTTCTCTGTTGTTCTAAGATAACTCCAAATTAGAAAATGCCTCTGCCTTTGAGAAGGAATCCAACCCAAAATTTATTACTTGAATTGGTAAAAAAAAATACCATGGCAGTACAACTACTCACATGTCAATCTCATTGGACCAAGGGGTCCTTTCATCTATTCTGCCTCCCTTTCCCCTCCCTTATCTCTCCCCTCTTTTTCTTCCTTTTTCAGCGTTTGTGTGAGGTGATAGGGTGGGGGGTGGGGGGTGGGGATAGACCTCAGGTACAGGAACACAGGTATAAACTTTACAGTGCAGTAGGTGCTATTTTAGAGTTTGCATCAAGTGCTGAGAACGTCAGAAGAGAAAACAACTAACTTGTAATATCATAAAGACACTCGAAGGACTCTGCTAGAGTTCATAAAATTCCACAAGGATTGGGAGCTATTTCAAGCCCTTTCTCATAAAAAAGAATTCAGTAAACACCACTTTGGTTGCTGGTACAATCTTAAATCTAGGTACTATCAGCAAACCCCAAAGAACTTGGCGATTGGAAGATGACACAAGATCCAGGTTTATGACCTCCAGCACCAACTCTCATTAGCTTTGGGCCCTTGAGCATTCACGCTGCCTTTTTGAGCTTTATTTTTCTTATCTACACAGGGGAGATGAATGGCTATAGGTGTCAAGCAAAATATTCTGTATTTTAACCTTAATTTTCATAGTGTTTTTGTACCTTATTTCCTCTTAGCTTCACTATACAATGAAATAAATAGAGCACTCACTCTGGTTCCCATTTTGCAAATTAAAAAAACAACAACTAAAAGATAGAGTGACTTGCAGTTATATCGATTCAGCAAACGTGCTACACTGGGGGAATGTTCTACGGAGGAAAGGTCCAGTCTCTATTCTCAAGGACCTCTCAGCTTAGTGAGTAATCGTAGACTTGCTTGCTCTTGTCAGGAGTTCTCTTAAAGGAACTGCTTTTCTGCTCTAAGTCTTCTTTCCTGTAAAAGGACAGAGGTGACGATTAGCTAGTCTTCTGTTAGCCCACATTCACCGAATGTATATTGACTCTCAATTTTAAGTTTAAAAAAAAACACATGGAAAAATTTATTCCAACCACACTTGGCTAGGCTTTGTGATAATAGTGATCTATTCAATGGTGCAAGTATGGGATCATAACCACACTGAAGCAACCATTCCCAAGTCTTCCACACAGTCAGGAAGGATGTTACCTCACAAAACATAATTGCCACTTTCAGACATCATTTCTGTATTTATTATGGCCAGAACCCTATATCCTGGCTGCCTGGGACATGACACAGTTTGTCTGTGCTTGTGAGCAGTGCTGTGGGAAGGAGAGAAGAGGAAAAACAGAACAGGCTAAACAAAAACAGTATAAACACTTGACTGTATGTTTTGTTTTGTTTTTTCAGTGAAAAGTGAATCTACCAAGAGCACTAGCAGTCAAAATTGAGTGCTTCTGGGGGAAGAAAATGCCCAGACTTCAGAGGACTATGCATTGACCAGCTGTTGGGTGATTGTTAGTGGGTGGGTACAGTTTTTTGTTTTTCTGAAAAGCAATTAAACGACCTAAAAAATTTTTAAGATGTATTTTCTAATCTCTTGAGTTGACTTACAAAGTCCTTATTCCTAATAACAACCCCTCTTTTGCACCTGATTGGCATAGTGCTTATTTTAATTAGACCTTGGCTTTTAGTATACTGAATTGTATGGGATGAAAACTTTTCTGTTTAGATGCAAACCAAATTCTAGGATCACCTGTGTCAGTCACAAAGCTTTGAAAAGGCTGTGTGACACACCAGCTCACCCTCAGTTGCCCATTCTTGCCTTTGGGACTTACGTGCAACTTACCCACTTGAAATGACTGAATGGGTCCTTTATACTTGGGTAGCACCTGGTACAATGTCCTGTGTAAAGGCTGAACCAGTGCAGTTAGCTACCATTTCTTATGTTTGGTTTGGAAAATCAGCAGCTCCAAACGGTTGTTTGAGCCATCCGTACTCACAGAGTTGGCCACACTTGTCACATAACGAGCTGCGTCTTATTGTAAATTCTGTACCTTTTATCCTGTTTCCACCCATTCTTGTGACTATCCCACAGGGGTGTTGTGGTGACCAGTTTCATGCTGTGCTTTGAAACACCTAGCAGTAATTAAAAGAAACACTCTTTAGTGTTGTTGGAATATATATGTGTATTTATGATATACCTGGCTTAATTTATACCTTATGGCAGCTCTATACATTATGATCTCACATATGAAAATTAAATGTTCCTGGTTTTATTGGAATTTATACAGTTATGAATTTGCAACATGACTATAAAAAGGATTACTACATCTGTGTTGCATCTGTGTACTTAATGGTTAAGAAAACAAAGATAAAATTGGACATTAGTGAGATTCATTTTTAGTGTATAATTGGAATAAGTTTAGACCTAAAGCAAGTCAGAGGCTTTAATTAAAGAGACTTAGAAAGATTAGAAATATGAAAACATAATGAGAAGATGAGTCTAGGAGAAACTTGTAGAACACAAATATATACAACTTGAGGTAGAAATTGGAGAAGGGAAGCTAAAGACAGTAATGCCACAAAGACCCTTGTATAAAAGTGACAGTGGAAATGGGGTTCATAGGGAATAAGGCCCTGCCATCTGAGATATGTGTACGCCCTCAAGCAACCTCAGGAGCCTTCTCCCTCATACAGTAAAAAGTTTGTGTAGAATTGTGTCGTTCAACAATATTACTGGGGAGACAACTAAATGGTATTTCAAGAGATTCATATTTAATCTAAAAGGGAAATTTGTCTTTTTGAAGCAGACAAGAGGATGAACTGAATCAAAAGTGTATCAGTACATAAATAGAATTCTTATTGGGAAAAGTGGGGTGAAGTATACAAGTGAACATGTGATCTGAATATCAGAGCAGAAAGGAATTTCCTGACAATGAAATCTGTTATGATGTAGTCTCATTTCCAAGAAAAGTGTTGAGTTCCATCCCTTCTAGAATTTAAATTGAAAACTGGACAAAGACCAAAGAACTTATCCTGTGCTTTTTCCCCTGCTGAGAAGGAAAAAGAAAGGGAAAAAAACATCTAAATGATCTAATAATGCATCTTTGCCATCTCTATTGTTTAGAATTCTATTAGACTTTTCAATTAGAGGCTATCCCTTAGGAAAGAATTTAACTAGCACAGTTCCCTTAAACGTAACCATCAGCTCATTTGAGTAATATGCATGTTTACTCCCTCAGGACTTACCATAAACATGTGTTTCAGTGAATAACCATGTCAACTGCATGGAGGGGGTGAAATGGGAGTAATTTATTGAGAGCCCTAGAAGTTTGTGGTAGTAAGACCCAATTCCTCGTTTTTTTTTTAGAGACCTTCTCCATTTTGGATTCTTGACAAATTCTGTTGCATAAACAAATTCCCTGACCAACGTTAAGTGCAGCGCCTGAATTTTGTTCATGACTCACATTTTAAAAGGAGAAATGCTCCACCTGGCCTCCTTTATTTATTAAACAATGATTTCAAAGACAAGGTGGTCCTTTCAGAATTGCTAATTATTACATACGGGATTAATAGCCATAAATTACAGTAAACAAAGGTTGCACCTGTTCATGTTATAAATATACATTAAAGAGAATTACTATCATTTAACTCCATAATTTAAATATAACTTAGATATAATTAAAATTTAACTATATAATTTAAATATAAAGATATCTAAGAATCCAAAGTGTAGCCGAGCTGATTTGTTTCCCTGAAGCAAGTGGTAGATTCCGGTTTCCCAGTGCAGAGTAAAACGGTAAACATGTAACTGTAATGCCAAAAATGTCCTTTGTACATTTTGTGTGATTTGATTGATATATACAAGTGCGTTGTAACTGATTTCATGTTATTAAATTTTTAAATAATTTTGATTGTATTTTTCCCATCACCATTTACCCCCCTTATACCCTCTTTCACTTCCACCTGTGCCCCTCTCCCCTCCACACCGTAGTCCATGTCCTTGAGTTCTTTTTCTTTTTTTACTCAATCCTTCCAGTCCTCAACTACCCCTGGCCAGAGCTGTCAGCTTGCTCTCTATCTAGGAGTCTTTCTCTGTTTTGTTTGTTAGCTCAGTTTGTTCATTAGATTGCACATATGAGTGAAATCATATGGTATTTGTCTTTCTCTGACTGGCTTATTGCACTTAGCATAATGTTCTCCAGGTCCATCCATGCTGTTGCAAAGGGTAAAATTTTCTTCTTTGTTGCAGCCAAGCAGTATTCCATTGTGTAAATGTCCCACAGTTATTTTATCCACTCATCTAACTGATGGATACTTGGACTGCTTAAACAAAGATACCAGTTTACTTTTATTTAATCATACACTACTGCATTAAAATGTGTTTATTTTCAGGTAGATACTGTGCACTTTTGATTATTAGCCACTTGTCTCTCCATTTGCAAGTAACAGAAACTCAATTCCAACTAGTGTCAGCCTGAGGGCAGTTCATTGGTTCACATACAGGGAAGTCCATGTGTGACCAGGCCCGAACACCCACAGAACCAATCCTTCCATCTCTTACACTTGCCTCTGACTTTTTCTTCCTGGATTGGTTTTCTCATCTAAGTACACTTTCTTTGGGGATGCTCTTTTTGGGGTGGGAGACAGTGAGGTGAGGATGGTAGATGATGTATGTCATCATAACCAAAGTGTGATGGCAAGTTATGTAAAATTCGGGCAAAGAACTTTGATTTTGCTCAGATTGGATCACATTTCATCCCTGAGCTGATCAGGAGAAGAGTTTCCCCTGAGCAAAGGGAATTACCAGGAAAAGGAATCAAACAGGGAGCAAGGGAGGAAACATGGCCAGTGAGAACCCAAAAGTAATGGATGTCCACAGCATGCTGTTTGAATTTGAGTAGCAAGAGGTTTCTGTTTGGAAGTTGTGTAAAGAGTGAAATTCAGAATTAACCTACACACCCTCATTGGCTTTAACTGGAGATTTTAATTCGTACTTGATGCCATTACTGCTTTCAATTACCACTGTGGGCTTTTAAAAACTGCTTTCCATTTGTGTTTGACATTCTATTGCTACTGGTTTGATCAGATGCACATAGCACCTGTCCAGTACTATCACAGATTTGGAAACTTGCAGTTTCACCAGCATTAGAGAAATACTTATTTTGAAATCAGGATCGTATGAAGGGAAAATGCTTCAAAAATGCTTTAAAAACAACTTAAGTAAAAACCGGCCTTTTAATAAACCTTTGGGAATCTGTACATCATTACAAGGTATTTTAGCTTTGGTCCATGGAAGCTATTTAAAGTGTGTGTGCCTGTGTTCTTTAGAGTGAACTATAATGTAATCATTTTCCATATTCGAGTGTGGTGGGCAGCACTCATTTTGAACCTTGCGGCCAAATGCATCCTTTAGCCTTTGATGAGCTACTTCACAAATCAACTATTATGTTTTATTGTCTTGCCAAATAAAGTTATTAAAACCGTTTCCCTCTGACTTGTCCCTAATCTAATTTGACAGCATTCTTTCTTTTTTTCTCTTATTTTCACCCTTCAGTCACAAAACAGCATGAAGATTACCATGTATGTATCAGGTTTTTTCCCCACAACGTGCCTTTCTTCTCCTTCATTAGACCCACGCGTGTGGGGGATATCCCTCCTTGCCCTTTAAGGGGCAGCTTGAGCAGTAACCGTGGTGATCCTCCCATGTGGAAGTCATAGCTGTGTTCGTGCTGTGTGTCTCCTGATTGGCTGATGCTAATGCCATTCTGTTTGTTGAATGTTTTTATTATCACACAGATAATAAGAGTAGTAACTAATATGTATTAAAAATTTACTAAATATAGCCCTAGCTGATGTGGCTCAGTAGATTGAGTGCCAGCCTGAGAACCAAACGGTCGCCAGTTCGATTCCCAGTCAGGGCACATGCCTGGGTTGCAGGCTGGGTCCCTGGTTGGAGGCACAGGAGAGGCAGCCGGTCGATACATCTCTCGCACATTGATGTTTCCCTCTCTTTTTCTCTCCCTTCCCCTCTCTCTAAAAATAAATAAATAAAATCTTTTAAAATATATTTATTTTTTTAAATAGTTTACTAAATGCCAAGCAGTACTCTGAGCACTTTAAATACATCAACTCATTTAAGATTTTTCACAGCAGTCTTGAGAAAGAGATGCAACAATATAGTCCTACAGTCGATACAAAAAACTCAGTAACATGAAATGCGTGCAGGGTGCGCCTGCACAACTAGCTATCCAGGAATTCCTAGCATCTGACTATAGGTCCCAAACCCATTCGGTAGATTGGCACGACCTGGTAGCAGATGTCCATTCCAGTTAAAATATCGGTGGGGACAACTCTGAGTTAATCCTGTGTTCAACTTGTATTTTTTTCTTTTTTTGTTTTTTTTTTTTTGTTATTTAAAACTTGTATTTCTAAGGTAACAGAGTGAGTCCAGGAATCTCCCAACTTGTTGATGCCCATTTCATCAATCTGACTCGAGATAAACCCACCCTGTGCCTCCCCCATGTCCTGAGACAGCCTGCCATTTCTTCACCTGGCTTCCCCTCGGCTTTCCTGTTCCTCAGATTCACCAAGAGTTAAGAATTTGAGCCCTCTTGCATTTGTCAGCAGGGCCTAGGTGAAGAATGGGACTGGTTCGTGTTACTTCAGGCACATTATTGAGGGTTACTATAAATCATTTTACAGATGAGAAAACTAAGGCACATAAAAGTTAAATCTTATTTATTCTTAGGTCAAACTGTCAAATGATAAGTAATGGAGCTTATATATTTTTCTGCTCTTAATTCCTCTCTGTACCTGGCATTATCTTTCTTCCTGTCTATATCACTAGTATAAAATTCGGTATTTAATTTGCCTTGAAAGCCTAATCTGGGATTGATATTTGCATCATCACAGCATTGAGCATAGTTTCTGGCATAAAGTAAGCCTGGCTATTGAGATGAGGGGGAGGAGTAAGGAAGTTCTCTAGGTTGAAGACAAAAGCAAAGGAACAAAAAAGAATTAGGCTTTCTGATAGATTGTTAGCTCTCAGTCTATAGCAAAGCCCCCAACTAAGAAGATAACTTTGACAGCCGAGAATGTAGGACTGAGCGTAAGCTGGGCGCCATTCTGAGCACAGCACAACTGTTTATCATTGAATCTTCACAATCCTGTGAGGTAGGTACTTCAGTATTTCATGAAATCTAAAATGTCATTAATTAGAGAATGTGCCTTTTATATAACACTAAGAAAGAAAACAATGCTACCAATTAAATTATGACAGTGCTTTTCTTTTTAATTGGACAAATTTATTGCTGTTTACCAAAGACAT